AGTATAGATTCGGCTCTGTATCGATAATGTTTATTTCAATATGATTTTCCAAAAAATATTCAATGTACAGATTCGGCTTAGTTACAATTTTATTATATGTATAGATTTGACTGAAAATACTCTCTTAAATTAAGTCTAGATGGATATAACTTTCGGCGAACATAAATACCTATGAATATGCCACAGAAATCATTTAACATACAGGATATTAAGTATACATGTTATGGCACTCTGCGACACATCAACTATCAAAAATCAATCCATTTTTCTTAGTTACGTGACAGACGGACAGACTAACAAACACCCTTTTGCAAAATATTTAATACTGCTTAATTAGGTGACAATAATACTGTATGATACAACAAACTGATAGTATGTATTTTATATAGCAATATCGATGAGCACGAATGTTTGTACTCTAGTCATGGGTGTTTTATATTTATAATATTTATGTATTTAAAACTAGCGACTCACACTCGGTTCGCTCGGGTTCGTCCCTATACAAGCTTTCATCCCCATTTTTACCCCCTTAAGGGATGATTTCCAGAATAAAAATCCTATGTCCTTCCCAGGGTCTCAAACTATCTTCTCACCAAATCTCATCTAAATCGGTTCAGTAGATCCAAAGATTACCCCCTACAACGTCACAAACTCAAACTTTACCTCTTTACAATATTAGTAGAGATTATATTGTATCAACTATTCTGTATCCATAACACAAGCCTCGTAGCTTACCATGGAACTAGATTGTGCTGTGTGTTAATGTCCCAACATTTTTATTTATTATCTACCGATCGATACGCGTCTTGGTACGATTACCCATCACGTTACCAACACGTTAGATAAGCGTATCGTATGGATAATAAAATAAATTGAACATTTTATGGCGGCGATTTGGACGAGTCTAAGAGGTTACTAAATATGTATCTATAGTTTATTACTTTATTAGTGTTCGCCCAGTGGTCAGAATTCAAGTATAATCATTATAAATTTTTTTATTGGTAACACTAACAAATGTAAATCTCGTCAATAGCTACTAAAGAAAAAAAAGTCGCCGAGCTGAAAAAAAGAAAGAACTGCTTTGTCTTTGCTTTCTATACAGGTACATATAAATATGTAGATATATTTGTCTATTTATATGTACCTATATACAAATAATAATAATATATAGATCATAGATGCACGTTTTAGGATTGAAAGAAAAAAATTAGGCTCAACACTTTGCAGTAACATTATCTTACTAATATTATAAATGTGAAAATTTTCATGTTTTGGATGTTTGGAAAGATGTTTGTTACTGAATTACGCCAGAACGGCCAAACGGATCTGGATGAAATTTGGCACAGATTATATTATATAGCACATAGGCTATTTTTTATCCCGAAAAAATGTGCAGTTGCCCTAGGATAGATACCTTTTTTTTCTACAGGCGAACCCGAGCGAAGCGTGGGTGAGCCGCTAGTGTTGAATAAGTAATGAATGAAATGTTATATTTCATTCTTTCAAGTTTCATTGTAATAGCAGATACCTAAGGTGTTACTGAACAATATAATAGTGTCAAGTGATAATTTCATTGTATGTTTCGAGTTTTAAAAATATATGGTTGAATAAAATATCTGTAACAATTATAAATATTACGGCAAAATTATGACGTAAATAAAAAAATGGTTCAACAAGTTATAGTTTATTTATTTTGCCAAGCCTAAGTAAGGTTTTATTCTTTATAATATACTAATATCTCGCCCTATGTCTTTCGCTTAACCCTTCATTGCGAGTAAGCCATTTTTTTTGTTACGTGGTGTTCATGCCTACTACTCCTCCCGCGGTACTGTATCACGTACTATACCTATGCCGCGCGGCGGGAAAAGACCAATAAAAAAAGTTCTAGACCACTTATCTTAGTTCCGTAAGTACTTTTTAATTCCTTAATAGCTATCTATTTGTAGGTGTAAAATATTAAAGTAAATATTTATTGTAAAAGCCACGCACGCCAGCAAGCTATAAAATTATAAAGGCCAAAATATAAATAGATATAAGTTATCGCAGACTTTTTTAATACTAAAAAAAGCGCTCATGGGGACTGCCGACAGAAGTGAATACTTAAAACTATAAACAAACAGTTGTTATTTTTGGATATTCAAATTAATTGTTTGATTTCAAATTAAAATTTGTAAATTAAAACTGTTTACATTTATCTGGTTTTGACATCTATCGTCACTCTGAGTGTTAGCGTTAACACGTCACGTGACCATGTCGATGACAACTTACATGAATTCACTTTCCATCCAAACCTGTCTATAGAATTTTTCACTTAAACAAAAGTCTGACAATCTACATACATAATAATTATTCATTGTGTTACTTACTTATGTAAATTAGACAGTGTATTCAAAATTCGGTGTTCTTAGCGATGCTATTTATCTAGTTGCGAACAACACGAATGTACTAAGTCGTTTGTACACTACAGTCACAGACAATATAACCTTGGTTGTAATATCTTTTATTAATTAATTACTAAGTAATGAAAATGTTACATGTTTTAAGGAATTTAGGTTATGTTTCACTTTTATCACAGAATTTTTATATTTAAGTAAATTTTAATTAAATGGTTATTTTCCATAACATTAGATAATTATTTCAAGCCATATTGTGTGAATTTTATGTATAAAAATGCATAAAATTGCATGCTTAAATTCCTAATTGTTAAATTATATTCTTATAAATTATATAATTATCAAATATAACATGATTTTAGTTAATTATTTCCATTAAATAATACATTTTATTGTAGTTTTTGTATATTTTATTAAAAAATAACATTTTATCTGCACGCATGGTACTTTCATTAACACCCAACCTTCAAAATTAAAATAGTACCACACACATGAATGACATAAAAGTTATACGTTTCTTGGCGATTTATAAAAGGAAAGATCGCGTAATTTAATTACAGAATCACACTTTGCAGTTAAATTCTATTACTAATATTAAATAAAAGTAAATACTTAATTAAATATACTCACCAAAATGCTGTGCAGTACTGGACAATGCTAGAAAACAGCTCGGACCATTGCAAAACTCGTGGAAAACATTAAACGACTTGACAACAACGATTTTACGACAATATAATCTTAAAATAACAAAAGGCTTGTATAAAATATTAGGCACTTGTTTCGATTACTTTGGAAGATTAATACTAAGATTGCTTCACTAATTTGTACCCTAACTTTAGTAAAGAAAGTAATATTGTGATTTTTATGACTGCTTTACTATAAATGGCTAAGAATTAGAAACTATGTTTAGATATAAACACAAACACAGAATTACTTTCTAGATCAACACTATCGGAGTGTACTGTGTCTGCTCTGCTCGTGGACTTTGACTTTTCTCGAATTCGATTGGTTAGCGCTCGGTTTGACAGAGAAAGTTAACATATGGAAAGTAAAACAAAATCTGCTCTGTGGTTTAAAAATGCAGATAATAAATGAGAAAAGTACTGAAACATGTAACGGAGAAGAATTTTGCTTTTTTCTCCCACGAGATGTCGCGATCACTATGAGCCTCAGTATATTGTAAAGCTCTAAAGCGTGGATGGTTTTTTTTTTTCATTTCATTTAAATTTTAATTATTTAAAAGGACATATTGTGCAGTGCCAGGATACAAAGAAAATGGATATTATTTGTTGCCAAGCGATAAAAACTAAAGAACTTGTGGGCATCCTATAAGAAATACTTTTCTAAAATTCACCCCTAAATGGGTAAGATGGGGAATTAAAGATTGTTTGAAACTCCGTCACTCTTAATGTGAAATATATTTACATGATTTTTTCGAAATTTATCCCATATAAGAGAAAAAGGGGGTAAAATATTTATATGAAAAAGGAATTATTTATGCTCAGAATTACTTGAAACTTGGTATTAATACTATTCACTACAAGTAAATAAATACATGTTTTAGCATAATTAAGCATAATTAAATACCGTAAAGGGGTAAATAATGGGGGATGAAAGTTTATATGAAACTGTAATTAATATGTAAAAAAGTAAAAAAAAAAATCACCTGTAAGCGATTTAAAAATTTTAAAATCACTTTTGGTAAAATGATGTCCACATAGTCTTAAATATAAAGATTGCGATTTCACCAATTTTGGCATTGCGTATTGCCAGTTTCTTTTGTCATTTAAAAAACATTTTTTTAACTAAAATTAAAAAAAAACCATCCACGCTAATAGAGCTTTACAATATACTAAAGTCTATAGTAATCGTGACATCTGGCGGGAGAAAAGGTCAAAATTCTTCCCCAATATTCATTCATGTTCAGCTGGTACCTTGGTAGTGTTGTCAATGGGAGCTCTATAGTCCATTCGCAATAAGAAAATAGTGAGTCATCAAGTGCAAGTGCGAGTAAAAATTCAATACATTTCAAAAGATTAAGTTAAATGAATAAAAAACAACTTAATTATCTTACTTACCTCTAATCTTGATTTGAGATGATATAGACGCTGAAATAGACGCACAAGGAATAAATGCGACTCGCCTCGATTCAACGCGTTTCGGTTGTAGTCTACACCATAGAGTATATTGCTACATAGTCTACACCTGGCTTAACAATTATCTTCAACTTCAAGTTCATAATTTTTATTTGTCATCCATGATTCATTAATCAACATCAAAGAGTATAGATATATACTGATCAACATTTATCACTCAGTCAACTTTGACAATTTGCCGTTTAATGTCTATTGCATGTTTATTTGTCATGCATGGTTTATTGTATAATATTTACCTATAATAGTATAAACTGCTGTGGATGTAATAAAATTTAAACGAAGTTACAGTGTACAGTCGGGCTTTAATATGGAAATAAATAATGGCACCAAACAATTATTACTATTTCTTAAAGAAAATTGGCAATTGTTGCTATGTCTCAACTTGATATTTTATCTTTATTTTTATTATACGCGGTCTTTTGATCATTTCAAAAAACGGAATGTTAAGTTTATGAAACCTATTGTTTTATTCGGAAATAGCTTATCGCGGGTTTTTGCCAAAAAGCCTTTTTTCGAATATCAGTTAGAAATTTACAATTATTTCAAAGGGCATCGGTATGGCGGTAAGTTTTAAACTATTTTATTTGTATTTTACCATATAATCATAGTTAAGTATTGTAAAATATTTGTTGATTCTGAATGTATATATAAAATCAAAATGATATAATTTTAAATGTTTACTTTCCTTGTTGTAGGTTATTTTGAAGGACAAAGACCCGTTTTGATAATCCTTGATCCAGAAATAATAAAAGCTGTGACTATTAGTGATTCTGATCACTTTATAGATAGGAGCACTATTAAAACAAATGAACCTAGATATTTAAGTAGATCTCTTCTTAATTTAAAGGTAAAATTTATTTTATTTAACATATTAATTACTTATTTTGATTCATAAGTTTATTTTAAAATTTTGTAAATAATTTTTCTTCTTAATTGGTCAGTGCAGAATAATAATGTTAATTTTTATAATCAAATGGAATGTCTATTTGAATCAATAATTATTTTCAATTATATACTAAAATATTAATTTTGGTAAAATGAAATTATCCAATTTATTTTTTTAAACTTTCTTTTATTAAACCAGAATCAACTTTTGCCATTTTAACTATCTCCAATTTTCAAACATATACTTTTACTTTTGTAGAAAGTGAGTGGTTTGTAGAGAAGCTCACCGTGTGATGATAACTTTCATTTTGTATGTAAAATTTTAGGGATCAGAATGGAAAGCAGTACGGAGTTTAATAACACCGACATTCAGCTCTGCTCGCTTAAAAAACATGTTTCCTTTAATACAACACTGTTCAAACCAGTTGGTTGAACTTTTAACACAATTTGGTAAGTTCAACAATATGTAGTAAGATGTCAATAATGAATAATTTAAAACTATGTTATTATATTTTTTAGGAATTTCTTATCACTTTTCATATCATATATGTATATATATTTTTTAGAGAATTCTGATATTGAGTTAAAAGAAATAACTGGCCATTTCACACTTGAAGTAACTGGAGTAACAGCTTTTGGTATAAGTACTGACAACCTAAAAGATAAAAATGCAGAATTTTTTAAGGTAAGGCAATGGTACAAATGTTTTCTGTAGCAATGTTATTTAACAATGTATTTAATTAAATCTTACTTATTTTCTTATGCTGGCTTAGCTAGTAGCTACCCAATGTGGATCTTGGCCTCCGAAACTAGTTTCACACAAAGTGAACACATATCGATTATTTGCTATCCTGAGCTGCTTTTCATCAACCAAAATCAGTCCCTTGAAGTATGCATCCTTTTGAATTTCATCAATCCTTTCCCATCCTCTTGACGTGACCAAGTCGAGCTGCCTAGTATATATACAAAATAATTCTGGAAATTAATTTAATAGATTGAGAACTAGAAACTTTGATATATTGAATTGAAAGCTAGAAGAAATGTCAAATATTCTTTATTATTACATTAATTTTACATACATTTTACTCTTTTTTTTTTGGGTTTATATGTAAAAGGGCGCAGCACTACAATAATCTTAGTCTCTCAAATAATGTTTGTGTTTAAAATTAGTATAATTTTTTTAATGTTAATTTAATTTTTAGATAGCTGAAAATTTTACCTATATGTCTATTCCAAAGAGGATGTTTTTCTTTTTCATTTTGTTGTTTATGCCTGCAATGTTTAAATATATTAATATATCTTTTATGAATTACGAATCAACAAAAAAATTAGTTAAAATACTGCAAAATACAAAAGCGGAGAGAATGACACAAGGATCAAAGTAAGTTGAACAAATTACTGTACAAATTATTTAAAACGATAGGAATTTATAAATATTTAATTTTATTTTTACAGTATGTATTAAAATTATTAACAAGTCACTGTAATTTTAAATAAAACTATCTTTTCGGATTTTTTTCGCTCCCGAATTTTGTGGGTAGGTTGTCTGTAGCTACTATGTAAAGCCTTTGAGACATCTAAAACCTAAGTCTCTCCGGTGACAATGATTGCTGTAAAGCATTCGAAATGTCTAAATAAATCCGCGAAAAAATCCGAAGAGATAGTTTTATTTAAAATGTCACATATTCGCGGAAATCTAAGAAAGTATCAAGTTTTCATAAACATACTTAAGTGTCACGCACGAATGTCGAAAAATAAATGACGATCTCGAGCAGTATCACAAAATATTGACCAAAAATAATTTATAGAGCACCTTAATATGTTTGCCAAATTGTTTATTTGAGAACTAATATATGGGGCATTTTACGTGAAGCAGACAACAAAATAAAAGTGAGGTTCTGAAAGAATTTCATAATTAGGCATATATGATAGGGGATCTCTATATCTAAGAGATAGGGGACTCTAGGGGATATGATTATGAACATGTGCACATGATATTAATTTTTTTTTATTTGAGGTTTAGTTGTCAAGTTATTGGATTCTTAAGCATTGATCAGATTGAAGGAGCGGTTTTTTTGGAATCTTTTTTCATATTGAAGTAATTAGAAATAAAATAATAAATGTGGTGTTCTGTATAGAAAATTCACTGTTCTTTGTTATTTTTTTTAATCAGATTCCAAATTTGAATTATTTTTCTAGTGTTAAACCGGAAGTAAATATTTTAAATAAAAATTTTAATAACTTCGACCATTTTAATTTTCTTTTTTTTTATTGCAAAAGTAAGCTTAATATATACATTTACAATGGTACGGAACCCGTCGTTTGCGAATTCGACTCTTAAAGTTTATCTTGCATTCAACTACAAAAACAAATAATTTTTTGACATACAAAACTAAGACGATTCTATTAAAGAATTAGTTTCTTATCTGTTTTCATGCCGCGGTGTTATAGCCTAAGAGCCCGTGAACGCCAGACCTTCGTCATTTTATAAAAGCTGAAAGTTTGTCAGCGCATGCTCCCAACACAGATAAGAACGATGGACCATTATGAAGTTCATAAAGTATATAATTACACTTTTATGTAAAATTATTTGTCTTTTCAAAATAAAAAACGCATCTATTCATTTGCCACTATTGCAGTTAAAGTTAGTACAATTCTTGCCCATAAATAATAAACCGCTGCATTAGTCAGCTTTATAGAACATCGATATTAATCGTCATACAAATTTTAAAAATTTGCTTAATAAATTTACTAATTTATATATTTTTTACTAAATGATTTAAATAATTTTAATTGCAGACGAAGTGACTTTTTACAACTGCTATTAGACATTGCTATAAGGGAGAAAAAAGAAATAAATAATACTGAAGCCTCCAAACAACGTAAGCGTAATTTAATATTAATAACATCGATCAAAAAAATTACGAGATACACAATCAGCGACAAAATGAATCACCGAATGAGCGCTCATTTGAACATTTGAGCGCGCTTTTAATTTTTCTTTTGTGAAAGAAACGCCTGGATTGATTTTGACGAGACTTTCACTAGCAGATTGCTGCTGTTATAAGGAGTAACTTAGGCTATTTTTATTTAAGAAAAAAGAATAGGGTTCCGCGCAAAAAATTAAAACCCATGAAATTGCTAGCAAAATTCGCGTGCCTGGGGAATGGGAATGTACCCGAGCGAAGCGATGGTAAGTCGCTAGTCTGTATAAATCCGTATAAATATAAATGTAAAAGTTTGTGAGTATGTATGGATGTTTGTTACTCTTTCGCGCCCGAACGGCTGAACGGATTTGATGAAATTTGGCACAGAGATAGATTATAGTCTGGAATAACACATAGGCTATTATTTATTCCGGGAAAATATACGGTACCCGAGGGGTAGATTTGCTTTCGTTTCTCTAGAGGCGAACCCGAGCGAAGCGAGGGTGAGCCGCTAGTAATAGAATATTTAACCTACCTGTAGAAAACATGTTGGAAAGTGTATTTTGCTTTCTACTATCTTGTTTATTTTTCCTCTTAATGTCTTAGCTATCTCTAACTTTGCTATATATACGAGTAATTGCACATGTCTGTTGTTGTTTGTATTGTTTTGATTTCATTTATATAAATGTTTCTAAGTCTATTGTCTAAAATCTGTACATAACAATGTAGGGATAGGCTCGATTTGTTCTGTTTAAATATTTAATGGACAGAATCTATCATATGAATAAAATTGAATAATATAAATTGGTAAATAAAATTTAAGTGTCTGTTTGTAATGTCTAAGTAACAGCATTTTCTAAATACATAAGAAAGTATACACGATACTAATAAGAAAAAAAACATTTTTAAAATTTTTGTCTGTGTGTTTGTGTTTGTTCCGGCTAATCTACGAAACGGCTGGACCGATTTTGACGTGACCTTCACTGGCAGATAGTTGATGTTATAATGGAGTAGTAGTTTTATTTTGGAAAAAGAATTAGGGTACCGCTCAAAAAAAATTAAAACTGTTCAAAATGTGAACAAAATCCGCTTATCTAGAGACGCGCCCAAGCGAAGCTAGGGTAAGTCGCTAGTGTAAGATATGGATAAATTACGAATCAAAATATTAAGTTTTTACTTATATCAAAAGTCTGTTTTTTTAGAGTTTAATTTCTTTTGGCACGATTGAATTATGAGAGTATATTTATACGATTTGCGCGCACACCGACAGGCAAAAAGCGACATGATGAAGTTAGCTGCATTCCTTTTACAAATAGAGAGTTGTGATATACGGGATAAAATCTTTAGCTATTTTTGTTCTGTTACGCCAAAGAAGTATAACTTCTTACGTGCGTACATAAGTACACACACACTTTTTTTTGTATTTTATGGGCATTTATTTGTAATTAATTTTCAATTTGAATTTTCACTTTTTAGATTTGGACGATGACACTCTGGATGCTCAAGCTTTACTGTTTTTGTTGGCTGGTTTTGAAACTTCGAGTACTTTATTGTCTTTTGCGTTTCACACAATGGCGGTACAACCGGATATTCAGGACAAATTAAGAGCACATATAGAAGAAGTGACTAATGGTCAAAACTTATCCTACGATCACCTCGCTCAGCTCGACTATCTTGAGGCGGTTATTTTAGGTATTTTATAAATATGCATTACCTACATCTACTCATAATATTATAAAGAGGAAAGGTTTGTATGTTTGTAGTGAATAAACTCAAAAACCACTGGACTGATTTAGATGAAAGTTGGTAAGAATATAGTTTGGGACCCTGGGAAGAACATGGATATTTTATATTACGGAAATAATCCCTTAAGAGGATGAAAATGAGGATGAAAGTTTGTATGGGGAATCAACGTAAGGAAGAACCCGAGCGAAGCGATGGTGAGACGCTAGTGTACGTATAAAATGATAATATAAAATTTATTTTCGTGTAAAATTATGGAACTTTTATGAATATTCTATCCTTCTTGGGATATACGGTACAGAATTTAATATAAACAAAGTGACTTTAGTGCAATAAAAACGCTTATTGAATATTTTACCTAACGGAGCTATATGAGCAATATGGTTTCTGTAAAATATATGTGTAGTTGTAATTAAAAAGACACCAAATATTATTTTCGATAGTGTTTTGATGGAATACTTGATTAATGTACCTATATTTATTTTCTATATTTTGAAAAAAATAAATAACTTGGTGTAGGTACAGTGCAAGATAATAAATATGAGATCAGCAAGAAATTTTATTCATGTTGTCGGTAAGACTGATAGTCTAATTTCATCTAATTGTCTTGATGATAGCGCTATAAAAACTTGAATTCATAATGTTTTTTTCAGAAACCTTAAGAATGTATCCGCCATTGGGTAGAGTAGACAGAGTGTGTACTAAGCCATACGACGTTCCCGGATCTTCCTTACATTTGAGGGTGGGTGAGATGGTGGGGATTCCCGCTTACGGTATACACATGGACCCGGATATATACCCGGAGCCGAAAGAATTCAGGCCGGAGAGATTTATGCGGGAGGAGAAAAAGGAGAGACCATCGCATTTGTTTCTCGCGTTTGGAGCTGGACCTAGGAATTGTATTGGTGAGTCTCCGTTACTTTAGTAGTTTGTAGGTGTTTGTGTGAGCGTGTGTGTCTGTGTGTATGTGGATGTGTTTGTGTGTGTATGTGGGTGTGTGTGGGTAGCTATCTAGATCGAAGAAAGATAAAACTGTGCTCTATATGAGAATGTGCAGAGAAGGATGTGTGCTTATGTTTTTTTAAATTTACTTATCTATACTTTTTTGATTGATGAGTGTGGTGGACTATGGTCTTATTTCCTTCACATTGAAGCGAGGCTCTTGCCCTGTATTAAAAACGTTATTTTTTTTACAAAAAACGCTTTTAAAGATTCTATATTTCATGTAATTAATGTGTAATGTAACTAACATTAGTAGGATCCTATTTGAACAAGTTGAATTATTATGTTTGTTTTTATCATTGTTCTAAATAGTATATATCTACATAAATATAAGCAAATATATTAAAGATAACTTGATAACAAACGGTGATATTTGCAATTATGTTTCTGAAGTGATATGAGTTACATATGTTATGTTTGTGAGATTATAAGTATGCATGAAATGATATTTTTCAATAAATAAAGACGTATACGTATTAGTTTATGAATAAATTGGAATGATAGATTTAATGAGAGCTGTATTCATTTTTGTTTTATGTTCAATATAATGCTAAAGTTTTTAATTACTTTATAAAGCATTCCATGAGATTGTGGGACCATTTTCAATTAAATATTAGGATGGAGCACAAAAAATTTTAATTCTTAGTCTGGGGGTAGAATTTGTAGCTTATTAAAACATAATTAAAAAAAATTTTACTCAACATTTTGAGGTGGCCCACTGATTTTTAAAATAAACTATGAATTTAAATTTTTGTTTGAAAGGATTTTGTTTTCAACTTTCGATCACTTTTGAAAATATTCAAGAATTGACTAATGTAGTCATTGTTTATCCAACTTTCAATGTAATATTGCATTATTGCAATTTTTAAAAAAGAGTTGAAAAAATAACATGTAATTTTTTTTTTATTGAAGTGAAAATTATCTATGCCCCGTTAGTCAGGCTGAGATTATAATTTATTACCGTTTCATAAATATAGAGAAAATATGAGAGCTAGCTATAAACGAAATAGCTGTAATATGCGAAATGAGTAATGCATATCATGTAGTATGTAACACGATATCTTAGGAATGGTGATAGTTAGGAAAAAAACTAAATTACAACTATTTTTGTAGATAATTTTATGATTTATAATTTTTATCTGAACTATATTTTTGATAAAACTTGCCGTTTTCGAGAAAAATACAAAAATCGAAAATTTTGACCTTTGACCTTGAATAACTTTCTTACCACACGAGATCGATGGGGCCTTTTGGCACTTTATTTCAAATGGTGTGTGTCGAGGTTTTTGTTATTTGAAATGTCTATTTTGACCGGACTATTTGTAGAAAGCCACATATTTTATTTGTTGTTACGTTTTAATTTTATTAATCAAAGTCTAGATTTTTTAATTAATTATTTAATCTCACAATGGTATTTCTTAATATATGACACAAGATTCAAGGATGATCAGTCAGTTGAAGTTTTTGAAACAAAAAATGTTTTTACATTCACTATCTCTTTCCCGCGAGTGTTGAAAACCTAAAAATCATAACAACTGACAAGAAATACTATATTCAAATATTACATTTTATTTTAACATTATTAAATAAACAATGTTTATTATTTTCAGGATCTCGGTTTGCGATGGTCGTCGCTAAAACTGCAATTGTTACTATAATTAAAAACTTCAAATTCACGAGGTGCCCTAAAACAGAATATCCAGTGAAATTACATAAAACTTCGTTTTTGTTGAAGCCGGCGAATGGATTGTGGGTACATGTTGAAAAAATTTAACTTCATTTATATAAAATTATTGGGCGCTATTCTTTTTAGTGGGTTTAGTGGGTAGTTATACTCGTAACTTGATTTTTATTTAGCATTAAAGAACGGCAGTGGTAGCCCAGTGGTGACGAGCTCGCTTGGGAAACCGAGTGAAGCGAGTTCAAATCCCGGGTCTCGCACCTCTGATATTTTCATGTGCGAATCATTTCCAACATGATTACCACTTGTCTTAACGGTGAAGGAAAACATGGTGAGGAAACCTGCATGTCTGAGAGAATCTAGCAAGTTTTCGAAAGATATGCTCAGTCCGCCCGCACTCGGCCAGCGTGGTGGACTACGGCCTGATACGGCCCCCTCGTACTGAAGGGAGGCCCGCCACCGGCAGTGGGACATTAAAAAGGGCTGAATACAATTAAAGAGAGATTTAAAAAAAAGTCCAAACAAATGCATTTTTACCTTCTCATAGTGCTCATATTATGTATAAGTGACATGAAACAAACTTAATAAATGTACAAACAAGAAAATTAAAGTTCCTCCACAATATTTATTTGTATGAATTTTTTGAACTCTTGGGCTAAATATTACGCTGGATATGGATTTGAAGGGATTAATCAATTTTCCTTTGGCTTATTTTTAAACAAATAGACCCAATTTCACAATAAAAAATTTAATATAGTAAATATTATTTGCATAAATATGTAACTTTAGATATAGTTTTTTTTTCTATTTTATATCTCTATTTTTTATGATATGGGCCATTGAAGTATTACGTAAGCAGATTTTTTTTCCTCCCCCATGCGTTTTAATTTATAAATAGTTAATATATTAATATTAGTTTCTTATATAATAAAAATATATAATTAAAATATTATTCCCTACAGCTCTTACTCCCCGTTCTATACTTACATAGACTATATTTTTATATAGTAGTAGACATATATTTTTTAATGTGTTCAGGTTTTTTATTGTTATTCAGAAGCAGCATTAGCATTTATTATATTTTGAATTTTTGATTGGACAAATGAAAATCTAATCAATTTTGCAGAAAATTCAAAAAATAAATAAATAAATATTGCTGACATAATCATCATACAGACACTTTTTGGTGTTTTTTTTTTGGTGCTTACGTAATACTTGAATAGTCCCGTAGCTGTAGTTTTTAAATAAGAATACCAGAAGAAATTAATATATTATGTACGTATGTTAAAAATAGTAAGTATATTATGTTGTAGATTAGCGCAGTGAATACTTGAAATTATATTTTGTTTTTTTTTTTTAATTTATAGATTATCTTGCCTCATATTACTCGTATTCACATTTGCTTTGAAGCTTATAGAATATTGATGATTTATAACTCTTTATTATCTTTACTATTTATAGGAAAAAAATAGGTGTTTCTGCTGGTTTGAATTGTATGGGAAAGTTTAATTGTATATTAGATTTTGATCTTGGAAATGACAAAACATTGCGCGTGTTATAAATTCACAAATAAAATCTATACTTAATATTACAAAGAGGTAAAGTTTGTGAGTTTTTTACGTTGTAGGGGGTAATCTCTGGATCTACTGAACCGATTTAGATGAAATTTGGTAAGAAGATAGTTTGAGACCCTGGGAAGGACATAGGATACTTTTAGATTAAGTATACATTTTAATTATATCAATTTATTTAATATCAACTGCCTCGGTGGTGTAGTGGCTAGCATGTACGGCTGCACACCCGGAGGTCCTGGGTTCGAGTCCCGGGTCGGGCCAAGTTTAGTTATTGAGTCTTTCTGTATAGAAAGTCTCAGTAACAGCCCGGAGTTGGGAAGTTGGCGGTGTGTCACCCCCGTGCCTCGGAGAGCACGTAAAGCCGTCGGTCCTGCGCCTTAACTCTCACTGGTCGTGTCGAGCAGTCGTCCCACCGGAGTATGAGAGTGATAGGAATAGAGAGTGCACTTGTGTCTGCGCGTACACTTGAGCACTATAAAATCTCCTGCGCAGTTGGCTAATCTCAATGAGATTGGCCGCCGTGGCCGGAATCGGCTAGGAGAACATCATCATCATCACATTTTAATTCAAATTAAAAAATAATAATAATATTTATACATAGTTTTTTTAGTTACAAATTAGTAACAAAATGTGTGTACAGATTTGAATATTTATTTAACTTTATGAAGTTTTATAAACGTGTGTACGATCCATAATAATCGAAGGAATAAAAAAAATCGTTAGATTATGGTCGGTAATATCTGCGTTTTTTTCGATCGCTTTGTGTAATATAATATTTAAATGTAGAAAAATATATGTAGTACAATATTACTACATCCTTTTCATCAATCGATATAGTACTAGATACACAATCCCATGCAAAAGTTCTCTTAAAACTGTCACCAATTGTGTTTAAGTAATTATTCTAGTTGAAATTAATATACAACCATGTAAATTGAACCTTAAATGCAAGGTTTATTGTTTTCGGAAAAAAAAAATGTTCAAATGAGCGCTCATTCAGTGAGGACATTTTTTGTCTTTGATTGCGTATCTAAAACTTTTTTGATCGATGATCATTTCATTTCAGTATAAATTAAGTAAGATATATCTAATGGCCTGTGCACACGACGTCTTTGTAACGAGCTTTCAACGCGCTTTGTCGCGGTTTTGTATCGAAACGAACGCAATCTACATTTTTTAAATTAATTAGATAGAAATTCGTAAAAAATCCGTAAATATGGTTTCGTTTAAAATGTCGAATATTCGCATAAATCCAAGAAAGTATAATTTATCACCTTAGCTTGCGTAGACGACGAATGCTCATGACACGTGCGTTGTCGACGAGTTTATGAAACATTTTGTGCATATATTAAGAAAAATAGCAACAATATATAAGTTAATATAATATTCTGCTATTTCTTAATCTTTCGATGACTTTTTTTTTAACGTTGGGAAATGCATTTACGCACGAGGTGTGGGACTCACCGGCAAAGCCAGTACTACCCACTAAAACCCAACAAAACCTTCCCCCGTCTTAATGGGGCGTCGCAGGATCGCTTACGCATTCAACTACGACGCCCCGACGGCAGGTCTGCCGAAGCAGACCACAACAACCACGGGGTTGCTCCACAGTCCACTCTGCTATCAGAGAAGTACCAGGAGCAACCCGCATGGTACACTGCCCTCCGAAGAGGGCCACCTCCCACCGCCCACCGAAGTGGGCCACCTCCCTGTGCGTTTCTTGGCTTCGCGCCCGGTTGGGTTGCCGGGCACTACTGAGCCCCCACCACGACAAGGTGAACGCACGTTGGGGGGAATCTTTCGATGACTATCCCATCTAGTTACATCTAGTATTTTAAGGGACACCTGATACAGTTCGATGCAAACTTAATAGCGGATCGGATATTAGCTGCGGGTATAGGCAGGTACGCGCAGTCTCCTCGCTCTGCGCAACGCTGATACCTAATAATGCGTTCTGCGCATCGGTTCGTACGATGTTCAGACACTGAACTTACAAACGTGATAGTGCAAAACGAAATAAAACTATAACAATAGTTTTGGCCAGTTGACTATTTTACATCTAAAACTTTTATTTTTTAAACCGATCATAACAGAATGCGATCCGATCTGGACGAGAATCACATTAAAGTGAATCGATTCTAAAAATCGAAGACCGTATTGCTTAAGATTGATCTTTTAAAAGATCGATTCAGATCGGACACATCTAGTTCAGGGCCGCCAATAAGCTTGAATCGTACTGTATTTATTAGAAATCGTCGACTTAGCAATTTGTTGTAAAACTATTTTTGCCATATACCGAGTTAGTATGATTTATTTGAATATTGAAATATGTAGTATTAAAAAATGTGATAAATATATAAAAACAAATATACAAGTATTGCCATTAATGTATGTTGCACACTATGTATTTATAAATTATAGTTTTTTTTTAAATGGTGTATGTTTTTATTATATTGGTGTGGGAAGTTTTAATAAAGAACCATTATTTATTTATTTAGATTTTCATTTTTACTATCCAGATTTTTAATACCACATTTAAATTAATTAATTTACAAATCGTGTTTCTTGCCATAGCCAAGCTGTTATAATTTATTTTTTAATGTATGTATGGCGTTTGCGATACATTGAGCTTCTCTGCTGTCTCACGTGTTGTGTTATGACAATTTGAATTAATAACTGCCTTGATATGGTTCTCATCAACATCAACTGAACGGCCAGATTGTTACGTAATTTTCAGTGAAAATCTCCAGAACGAAATTTGGCCAATCAATTTTGACTACTTATCTTTCAAGGCTTCATTCCCATATTCGGCACATAACTTCCCATATGCTTGCGATGCGTTAATATGAAATAATGCAATAACATATTATGTTTGAAATGCGCGTTCTGTTCTTCCATTTTTAAATTATAATAAAAACGAAACTAAGTAACTAATCGATACAATGTTGATACTAAATTAAAGGTGGAAGTCCATATCACAAGAAAACAATACACAATAGGTATGTGCAAACAATAGGTATGTGCTTTGAACATTAAAAACAAAAATGTGCTAAAAATTTTATCAATAGGTATTGACAAAATCCGCAATGTTGCCAACCTAATAATTCTCTAATACTGGCGCCTTTTAAGTTTTCTGGGACGCGTTCTTTGGCACATTTCCGCATCAAATTCTCTCCAAATGCTGCCAATAGTTGGTTCTGGTACAGCTGCTAAATAACAATCAGTAAATGGACTTTCAGAGATAGGTTGCAGTCTCAGTTCGGCTACTCTGTCTTAAATTATCCATGGTTTTATTATAGGCTTCAGGAGTACGAAAACCAGGCCCGGATCTAAGGGGGGGGTGCAAGCCGGGGCCCATGCCCCGGGCGGCAACTTCAGGGGGTGGCAAATTCATACTTGACAGACGAATACACAACTCATCATTAACGCAACTTTGATCACTGAGACGTCCAGTACTTTAAGTACAATAATAATAATTTTTCGCAGAGCCAAAAAGAACTTATCTATCTATCTATA